TATCTATCTCTATCTATCTCTATCTATCTATCTATCTATCTATCTCTCTCTCTCTCTCTATCTATCTATCTATCTATCTATCTATCTCTCTCTCTCTCTCTCGGGTTTCACGGGCACAAATGACCAAAAGGGCGAGCCAGTAGGATGGTTTTCGAAAGATTTCTTTTGGTTCCCTTTTCCAGGAAAGGGCCATGCGTGGGTCCTTTTCCGGAAGAAAGAGAGTGGCTGACTGGGGGTGTAGCACTGTTCAGCAGCGAAAATGGCGACTCGGGTCCTTCAGCTGGAGAACCATCCAACCTGGAGGTGATCATCCACCATTGCTTTGGCTCAGGATGTTTCAGGATTTCTCCACCCAGAAATACGCCATGTCAACCATGTGCTTTTTCGAAAGACGGCACTACCTGGGATACAGAAAAGACCCTCCGGGCCACCTGATCTCTGACCTGGTGGATCTCCAGGTCAGAGATCTCCCAGCTTGAAAGACCCCTCAGCAATGCAAGACCTGGGATGACATAGCTCGGTCCTTTTATTCTTTTTCTGCAGGTCGAGGTAGTGCTGCCCTTCTCGCGCCGAGCCAATCTCGGCTCAAGTAGCAGGATTTGGCCTCTCTGGCCGAAAGGCACGTCCGATCCCAGGCGTGACATCAACGGTGCCGTCGCTGGCTGGAGCACGCCCGACATCCGGACAGTTGGACCCTCCATCTAGGCATCCAGTTGGACCCAAGTACTCTGACATCCAGTTGGGCACGTGTGTGGCGAGTAGACGCGAAAACGCAGGTAGACGGTCCACGGAGTCCACGGAGTCCAATCGCGCTTGTCGTTGGTCGAATCGTGCTTTGTCGACATCTTGGGGGGCACGGGGCGTTGGCGACATCAATGTGAAGATGGTTGAAGGATCATGCCGCCTGTGGAGTACGGGTTCACGCGTGTTCATCGGCACTTCGTCGGGCGAAAAGGTTGAGTCGTCAGCAGCCGAATTCGCGACCGGCACGTGGAATGTGGACGTGGTTGTCACAGGCCGCTTCCCAGGTGCGGCTGGGTTTCGGGGTGATCGACGCTCGAGGCAAAGGCGCCCCCGCAAGTCGCGCCGCAAATCGCTTGGCAAAACTGGCGCCTGCTCATCGCCTGCTCATGTGTTAAAGCGCTCAAAGTCTCTAAATGTTCGTGCCCAACGTTGCGTGCAACGTCACCGGCGCTCACCCTGTCAGCCTGCAATTCAATTGCCTCAGCCTGGCGCTCGGTCCGCACCCGAAAAGCGTGCAGGACAACGGCCGAATGAACCGAGGTAACCGAAACAGCCACGACGAGGGGAAAGTGGGGGCAGCAGAAGCGCTTTCGTTGGAGCTTTCCGCAAAGGGGTGCCGTGCAAAAAGGAGCGCGGGAAAAGGGCCATAGAGGAGCGTGGCGTTACCCTTTGTGGTCTAGCTTTCCCCTCTCAAAATTCTCGAGGGGCTGCCCTAAAATCGTGCTCAAGGGTTCTTTGCAATCAGAAATGAATTGTGCAAAACGCACAAGCAAAAACAGTTAAAAACAAAGAACCGGTCCGTTTAGGATCAGAGGACTTTCTTGATCGCATCCACTTGGAACGGATTCATGCATGTGCGATTGACCAACCTGGGGCCACCGGCAGCTCTGTCCACAACAACTCTGTGCCGAAAAGCTCCCAGAGCGAGCTCACCAGGGATAGCAGGGGTGAGTTGATCCAAAGAACCCTGCAGGGTGCCTGCGTGGAGTCCAAAAGCCGATTCCAAGTTGCGCAGGTCGACCCTTGTTCTCGGGCATTTGCTTTGTATTTTTGTGGCGTTTGGGGAGTCAACAAGGGCCATTGTAAGAGAGCCAGACGCTGGAAACTCCGAAGACGATTTGTCCAGTGTGAACGAACTGTCATACACCTTGAGGGAAACTCACATTTTTTCGGGTTTGAAGTTGCGATCTGTCCAGGTGACATGGGTGAGCCGGGCAATGCATACAATGGACAGATCAGGGCCACTTGGTATTCCGAGCTCCCACCCGGCCGGATGGGCGGATCATGGTCCAACATCAAACAATATCAAACATGCCATGTTTGGAGGTTGGGGACATGGTTGAGGGACGTCTCACTGGGTTGTCCTTTCCAGAACGCATGAGACAATTAGCTTTAACATGCTTCAACAGTCCCTTCAATTCGACATGCAGCGTCGAATGGAAGGGGAGGTGCCAAGCAACTGGTTCCAGTCCACACCCAAATCATCAAGAGTTGCAGGCAAGCAGAACAAGGAAAACAAGGGTTGAATTTGGCCAAGCCTCTTCCAAAGTGTTGATGTGTTGCATCAAAAATTGGGCAAACTTAGCCGTTCGCCATTGATTTGTAATGTTTTGCCCGAATAGATGTGCTCAGTTGCAGAAAACGATCTCTTTGCTTTGTTGACACCAACAGAAAACCCTAACTCACCTGCCCTTTGGCCTTTGACCATCTATCTTAGACACTTGCCCTCTATCCAACGAAAATAAGTCCCCCTCCACGATATTTGGATGAAGGTAGGACTCTTGGTTTCATGAGTAATTAATCTCAAGCATGCTTACACCAGTGGAAGGGTAGCTCGATCAAGTTTGGGCGAAAAAAGTGCGTCCAGAGATTTCTCGCTTGAAATGGCTTAGATGTTGGTTCCGAGAAATGATTCTAGAATATGTTGGATGGGTAGAAGAAAGATACGGCAAGATATAGTAAGATGGTTCCAAAACCAAAGGGTCAGATGGAAGATGGGCAGAAAAAGGCAGCGTCTTCCGGTCCTTTCGGTCTGCGCCTCTCGCGTGCCTCGCAGACCGAGTGGTCATGAGATTGACTGGTCTGCTCAGGATGGCTTGTTCCACGGGAGGGGCACATTGATCTATGCTGGAAACGAGCGCTACGAAGGTGAGTGGAGACCTTAAATGGCTGCGGGGCGTGGAGAAATGTGGAGTCGGTAGATATTACGAGTTAATTGAGAGTGTTTTTTCTGAGCCGAACGAGAAATCGGCATAGCCTCTTTACAAACATGAGATCGGCTGTGTGAGGTCAGTCAGGGGGGTTCAGTGTGTGGATGAAATCATCGACTCCACGCTGTGAAATGGCGGTAGGTCAAAAGCCTAGAATCTGGAGATCAATCAGTAATGATTTTGGTTCAGCACCCATAGATACCAAATACCCATAGCCAAAGCAGCTTGTGAACACTAAGTTGGGTCTATGGCAAGAGAGAAGGCCATGGAAGGCACGCGGAGAACGGTTCGGCCGCGTTCGCGACGTTCGCGTCGTTCCATTTGTGTATGGGGACCATGGGGGACCTCAGTTCAACCTCCTGGAAGGATCATGCACCAAAACCATCCAAAACCCGGGCCAGGGATCTCCTTGTTGAAAGACTGGCAGCCGCTTGTCGAGGCAAAAGCGGTGCAGTTTTGGGAGTTGCAACAAGGGCCTCCAGTCGGACTCAACACGTGAACGCGATCCGGAGAATGAGACTGAATCACTTCTGTCAGGTCGAAAAGGAGCGTCTTTCTTTCCAGCCCATGGGCTGAATCCAGTATATGCCGCTGACAACAGTGCGCTGAGCGACGTCAACCATAGTCAACGACTCTAATGACCCATAGTCAGCCGTAGTGAACCATCGATGCCTAGAATTCCTTGGGGTTCTTCTTGGGTCTGGGGCCTATAAACCCAAGGACTGTTACACCTGACATCTCTTCTTTCCATGAGCCAACGACGCTTCTTGCAGGTTCACATACCAAGATGGTGCCATTTTCGAAGGCAATTGGCAGGAGGACCGGGTTCCTTTTCCTGAACGGAAGAGTTTGGTGGTTTCTACAGACCAAGCAGATCAATTTGAGCCTCTTTGTTCTTGTGCCAGTTCTTTTGTACACACCAGGGGCATCTTCAAGCTCTACCGATTTCACCTACTTTGAGAAGAATATCGAACCCATCGACAAAACAATCCGCACGAGTCTGGCAAGCCACACCATGGTATTTCAGGTATTTCTCTGCAGCGTAACTTCTTGAAATTCTTTCCGACTCTCCTTGAGGACAGGATACATGGCCAAGGGGTTGCCGTCTTCGCGTCCGGCAACCGCTATGAGGGCATGTGGGAGAATGGACGGATTCATGGTCATGGTGGCTCGGCTGCGTGAGAAGTCGCGGGAAAAAGACATTTCTTGGGTTGACTGAAAGTGAATAGGTAGAGAAAGGCGCACCATTCTTTGCCTATTGGGTATGATCAGTCATGGTGATATTCTTCAGTACCAGGGTTCTGCAAGTAGAGCAGCCTGTTCATATTCAGGGACAGGTGGCATGCGCCTCCAAGATGTTTGCCAGATGATCTTCAAATCAGTGCCGAGCTGTCTGAAAAGCTGCGATGATGCGATGCTAAGGTTCACTCACATACTCGAACAAAGACCAGTATGAAGGGGAGTGGCACAGGGCTCAGAGGGTTGATCAAAGCTGGGTGAGGTTGCATCTTGGAATGAATTCACGTTGTTCAAGCGAGAAACGACACATGCAGCAAGTTCAATCTTCGTTTCATCCGGTTTGATCAGGCACGATGGCAAGATGCATGGACGCGGCACTTACAAGTATGCAGCCTGCCAAGCTTAAAGCAGAGGTGATCCAAGAAGAATGATCATGGAGACCAGCAGCTGTTAAGGTCTGAAAGCTCGTCCCTGTCATGGTTTTGACTTAAAGACATTGGAAGATGCCCATTTGAGGCCGAAGGCGACGTCTACCAGGGGGAGTGGAAGGATGACAAGCGGCACGGGAAGGGCGTGGTCACATACGCCGGGACGTCAGATTCGGCATGTTAACAGCTTGCATGCTGGAAGTAGCTGACTGGTGTGATATTTCAGTAACTGGTGTGATAGTCCACTGGTCGGACTTCCACCCCGATCTGACTGGTGGAAGTAACTGACTGGTGAGTAGCAAGAAGCTACTAGTAACAAGTGTGAATAAGTCAATAAGTCGGACTGAGGAGCCCATCACCTCCCAAGGAGGTGAGCAATCTGGTCAGTGTGGCTCAGGTCAGCGCGCGTGGCAGTGTGGTGGAGAAGTTCGAAGGTGATTGGGTGAACGGCAAGATGCATGGTCAGGGGAAGAGCCATGGCTGGAAGATGTGCTCAGGGTGAGGAGGAGGAGAAGGAGGATATATTGTGGATACATATGGATACATAGTCATACATCATATTAACATTATATTGCATTACTACCTACCTACCTACCTACCTACCTACCTACCTACCTACCTAACTACCTCCATGCATGGCTATATATATATATATAGATTTGAACATGTTTAAACAATTACTCTTAAAACCCGGTGTTCCCCCCTGCATGGTCGCACATTCGTTGATGGTAATTTGCACTAGTAGAGTCAAGCAAGGACTGCGGAAATGATATGAAATGATCTAGCTTTGATATGACACTCTTTCAAATATTTTGGGGGAACACTTCTTATCATGTCTTATCCGGTTTGTCCGGGAGGTCCCATCATCCATGGTCCCTCCGTCTATCTCCGTCTCCTCGCTCGTTCCTGGGTGATCTGTTGGGTGCTGCGCTCCAGATCGTCTTTTCCTGACAGTCCAACCAAAGGTAAGATAAATTGTAGAGGGATCCAGCTATGTACCATCTATATGTTCTCCACAAGTTCCGAAAGGGAGAGCCTGAGTCACAGTCCATCCGAAGGGAGAACTGACCCAGTGAACCGAGCCTGAAGAGATATGAAGATGAAGAGATGAAAACAGAGGGACGTGGCCTCGATGCTGTGACTGTGGCGCCTGTCACCGAACCCCCCCCCCTCACCCGCGGCGAGGGTGGATCAGTCAAGCGTCGAGTAACGATGGACGTCCATGGTTGGCCGGATCGCTCCGAGGTACCAATATGCGGATGGTGGCGTCTACGAGGGAGATTGGCAAGATGGCAAAATGCATGGCAGGGGGATCTATGCCACGTCCTTACTTTGGAAAGAACCACACGTCCCCTCCTTCCTAGACAAGTGCTGTAGATATGGCTATGACCGATGCTATATGGCTCAACAAAAGTCCACAAACTATGAAAGACCATGAAAGACCCAGGCAACCGCAAGTGTGGATATACGTGTTGAGCCATGCCCACATATGTTGTGCACTTCCATCTAAGCAGTTTGAGAAACTTCAGTTCGAACCAGCTGATCTTCCGTTCTGAGGTTTTCCCGAATGGGAACACATACGATGGTGAGTGGGTGAATGACATGAAAGAAGGCAGGACAACCAGCAGCGAAACGGCGGCCACAGCGCCACGGCGGTCGTCGTTCGCAAGACCCCTCAGCTTTTGCTCGTTCAGGCTATGGCACCTTGACATACCAAAATGGTGAAAAGTACGATGGCTACTGGAAGCAAGACAAGGCCAGGCACGGCCTCGGTGTTGCTTTGTGCTTTGATGCTGGCGGCTGCGACATCATGAAAACGCTGGTGCTGCGGCAGCTGTTGTTGTCGTCGTCGTCGTCCCCTCTGTTCGTCCACACCTGCGAGGGAAGAGGACATATGGCAGTGTATTAAAATAGGGAGACCTTCCAGTTCGACCCCCGTGGAAGAAGGGAAATAGCTGAAATAGATCAAAAACCCACTGCAGTGGGATCGCTTCCTATTGTCAAATATACACACCCACACCTATAGGAAAACCCATGAGAGAAAAACCATGAAAAAACGACACAAAAAGCAGCAGGCCATCAGTGGCCTTACCATGCCTTCGCCGTACCGTGGCCTTCGACGTGGCCTTCGCCTTGCAGGTCCATGGGCAAGGTACCCTGGTGTATACTTACGGAGACAAGTTCATAGGCCAATGGGTCGATGTCAGGAGCTCAGACGGAGGAGGTTCGGCGGAACGCCCGGCCGGTTTCTTTTAGAAATGGGTGGTCCAAGAGAATGGGATAAAGAATGAGAAGAATGGTGCAGTCACCAAAAAAACAACACCGTCTCGGAGTTTTCATCATAAACGTTTCAGTGTTTCAGATACCTAGTCCTCAAACCAACATGCGGATGTTTGACCAAGTTCCACGCTCCTATCGTCGTCGCAATGGGTGAAAGGACCTTTTCAAGGACCGTGGTCGAGAGAAAACCTCGGTGACGCGAGGCCAAGAAGGAAGGCGAGGGTGAACTGATTTACTCCAACGGCGACCGCTTCAAAGGCGCGGGCGGAGCGCGGCCGGCAGCGCGGGCGGAGCGCGGCCTCCGCCGTTTTCTTCCGGAGGGCGAAAAGGCCGTGGCGTTCCCGAAGAAATTGCTGTAGAGGAATTCGGGCCAAGGAAACATATGGATGCATGATGCAGACACATGGAATTTGATTGATGGAATTTGATATGGCTTAATTCATGACCAACTATGGAATTTTCTTCATGTTGGTTGATAGGCAGGCGTCCAAACCGACCGCTTTTCGCGACGTGTTTTGCACGCGTCTTGCGCGGGGCGGCGCGGTTTTGGGCGATGGCATGCGATGGCGAAAGAATGGAACATGATGAGAGATCTCAATGCCCCCATGGGAGGAGGACAAGAAATCATTGAATTTGTGGGGGTCGTTCAAATCCAGTATATAAATATTAACTTATGTTCTTTCCTGAAACCCAACACCGCTTTGCTCCCGACGGTGGTGGTGAGTGGTGCCGTACACGTGGTTTGTGCTCTCGTTGGAGGCCAATGGGTGGATGATCGAGCATCGGGCCATGGACTCTTCCAGCATCCTGGCGAATGCGCGGATCAGGTGGCGGATGGAGGTTTGGAGGAAATGGGCGAGGCGTGGGAATTCCCAAGTGAGACATCCTACGGTGACGGAGATTCTGTCCGCGAATCCACAGATTTGTCTTTCAGTCTCTCAAAAAATATCATCCAAACGACTGTCGACCGTGTTTTTCACCATGTTAAACCTTCTATGTCCTTCCCCGCTCCTCCAAGGTACTCCAATGGAAATCGCTACGAGGGCCAATGGCTCGACGACAAGCGCCCAGCGGCTCAGTCCTCCGCCGTTCGACGAAAGCGCGTCGACGGCAGCTTCGACCGAGGCCATGGACGCGGTTTGTTTGCCTGTGCAGAGGACCGGGTGAACTGGGCGCGGTGAAAGCGACATGTCCCATGGGCGCGTGTTTCATGGCGCATGTGTGTTGGGCGGTGGTGAAAGAGGCTCAAGATATGGATGATGGGGAATTCGGCTGGTTGCAAGGTGAGTGCTTGCAAGTTTTTCCAGGAAATTCTGATGTTGCAGTGTTTAAGTGAAGCTGTGGCATGAGGTATGGCAGGTGAAGAAGGAGGATGGTGGCGATGAACCTCAGCCCATCCGAATGGATGGACCCTCTCGACTGTTGAGCCGGAGGATGGTTCTGTCTACGACGGCGAGTTTGCCTATGGGCGGAAAGATGGTTTGGGCTCCCAGCGCCGCGCCGCGCCTTGCTCGGTACAACCGGGCAAGAGCTGAACATGACATCAGGTATTTCTTCAAAAACATCATGTGAGGGCCAAAATGTTGGGAAAGGTGATAGGATGCGGTCAGCGCTTCAGTGAAGAATGCCACTTTGATGCCACTCTGTCTCCCCAAAAAGGATGCCCTCCACAACTGGCCCGAATCAATTCACACACCACGCGCAAGAACCCACACCTCTTCTCTGCCAATCACACACCACACCGCCCTCTTCACGCCCCACCCACACCGCCCCGCCCACGAGGCCGCGGGCTCTTGAAGCTCCAATCGGGACACGTCTTGAGCGGTCAATGGAAGTTGGGCACTCGGACGTCGCGCGCGAGGGCGCCATGGTGTGAAGATCTTGGAGACAGGGAACACCCCCAGGACCCATGGCGCCATAGAGACCTGGACTGGTATGTACTGCTATGGCACATGACCCTGGCACTGCTGGCCTGGCACTGCTTGCTTGAGTGAATGAAACAGCGCAAAAACGATGCCGACATGGCAAATCTCTTGAGAATGGCCGATGGACAACTGGCATTTGCTTCATGTTGCTTCGCTTCGAGAAATGACATAAAACCGTCGTCAGGCAAGGGGAGCTCGTGCAGGCAGGGGGAAAAACGGGGGCATCGCCCGTTCCCAGGCCGGTGTGGTAAAAGCTGTCTTTTGGACTCGGGATCCAACACAAAAGAACAGTGTTCAAGGAAGTTTGATTTACCAGTGCCAGACCGGTGCCGTGTGAGTCCAACTGTTTGATCAGGTGCTTCCGGATTCCGGCTCTATGGTTCCTCAGCAGTTTGACGACTTTTGACATTGTGTGACAAATCAAAAGTTGAGGTTTGACTGTGTTTGATCAATGTTGTGTCTAGTCTAAGATAGTTCATCTGCGAATGTTGGGTGTCACAATTACAAGCATGCTAAGCATACTCTTCACATCTCTTCTCTGATAATATGTATATTATATATCCTGAATCCATTTGGATCCTCACTCTTCCAGTGCATTTTTGTTCTTTCGCATCATCAGTACTGGGGTCATAACCCACAGGATCATCCAGGATCATCCAGGATCATGGATCATGGATCATGGAATCAGGAGGAGGTTCCACGCCTCGAAGGAGGCCTTGGAACCCAGGCTTCGAGGTTCCGGCGCAGCTGGTCGACAGCTGGGACGACCACGACCTCGGTGGCTGAATTGAGCTCGTCTCGTCGGGTCTCCCTCGTTTGCCCGTTTAGGGTTGAGGGTTTAGATGGGACAAGAACGAACACAGTTGATCTGTTAGGGATACACATGATACAAGATCTTCAGCCTTTCTGTCCGAGGCAATGGAGAACATGTCGACGATTGTTCTTGGTAGCTCGTGGAGTCCGAAGCCCAAAAGGACCAAACACCTTGACCCTTCACATGCTGTTTCAATCTTTTTCGCACATCGTTTTGGGGCAGCAGGCTCTAGCCTTTCACCGGCTCCATTTTTCGACCCGTTTCCACCGGTCGTTCTACTCGCTTTTACCATGCTCCACACCCAGAAACCCACGGGTTCGAAACCAACCTGAACCCAAATCCGGGCTGCCCCGCAGGTCGCGGACTTCGTCTTCGCGGCCGATTCGCCCTGGAAGAATCCAGACTTGTAACATCCTGAAAGCTGTACATGTGAAGCGGTCCGACCCGTCGCAGGACATCGCCGGTCCGACCCGCCCTGAAAGCGGGAAAGCTTTCCGGTCGGCGAGAAAGCGAACTCGGGTCGGCTTTCTGAATCCCGAGAGGTGAGGGGCAGGTGAAGCCCAATTTCTCAAAAACACTTGCATGCCATACCTGGGAGAACTGGACACAAGGAAAAAGGTGTGATGATTTTTGTATGTCGTTCGCCACCGAAGGATCTAACTATATCTAGCTATGGGCTGTTTGTCCATATGTGTCAATCCATGGCTTGAACAGAGGTCCTGAGGTTTGGCAGTCGGTGGCTGCTTCGTAAAATATGCGCATCGTGCGCGTTCTCATTGTTTGTCAAGACACTCTTGCAAGGCATCGTGAAACTGCAAACTCTTGCATTAAGCTGCAGACTCTTGATTCCTTTGGTGAGAGATGCTTGGCAGACAAGTGCACTCCAAGAGCTGCATTCGAGGGGCTTTTGAGCACACCTCGCTATGTGGCTTCGTACCGCTAGGGTCAGCTTTGGTGCGGCAAACACAAAGATGTTTGCAAGATGGTGAGTGCATCTCCGGCTTGAACAAAACACATGAAAATATGAAAATCATGAACCAGTCCAACACATCCACCAACCTAATCCAAGCCACCTCTTCCGGTTGATGAGCAAGTTCTCCTGCTCCACACAGGCTCTACTGTCCACTTATCAGCCCAGGTCCACGAAGAAAAGATCAGACCAAGTTCGCCCAAGAAGTGCAGGGAGAACTTGTCCATCAACCGTGTGGCATGCCTACCACGGTTTTTCACCCCATCACAGGTGTGAACACCCACCACCCCCTGTTCTGACAGAGACCTTGAAGCTGGACATCGAAAAAGGGCCGGCTTCGCGGCAGCCTGCAGTAGCTAGCCCTAGCTGTAGTGGCAGGCTCCTCGTTTCCACATGTCAACCAGACTGCCCTAGCTGTCGCTCCCAATCCACTGAATCGCCCAAATCGAAGTTCTTCAGTGTCTGACTCTCCCCTCTGGCCACCGACAGCCAAGGACAGTCGCACCCAAATCAATACTGTAGGATATAACCATATATAAGAGCCTTCGGATGATTTGCTGAATGGTCAGACATCATGAAAGAAAAGGATTCATGATCAGACTCAGACCTCATCATGTTTCCCTCATGTGAAAACTCGGAGCCGCCCGAGAAAAAAACAAAGAAAAACGGGGTAAAAAAGAAACACGGCCCGCCGACCCCGAACTGAGATCGCCCCTGCTTGGAAAAAAGAAAAAAAAACGCGACCGCTCCCACGAGGTCCCGAGCTTGAATCTTCTTGACATACACTCCCGAAAACTAACATAGACCCTGACAATGGCCCCATGAAAAACTATGTTCCTCTACCAACCAGTGGTTTTCAGGCTCCATGATAGTCTTCCAGGGTGTATGTTTGTTTGGATGACTTCGGGTTGTTGGGGGACCCATGTGGTTCTTCGCATGGTTTGACGCGTGACGGCATGAGTCGTTGGAACGAGGTTTCTGCATTTCAGGGAAAACTGCTTCGCTGTCTCGCTTCTTGCCTATGAACTTGAGCTGCAAGCCCACAGAACAGAGGGCTGCATAGCTTTAAAATGCTTCAGACTAGGAAGATGCTGCAAAACACACATGTGATCTCCCCTATCCCTAGGACTTGAATAACTAGTGCAAATGTATGCAAATGTATCCTTGTTCTCAACTCAGCTGCACCTTTTTTGCATTCATCCACTCTCCGGAATCCTTTCTGGTAAAGCCCCAAACCGGGCTCCAAGTCCGAGATAGCATCCCCATCCACTCAAGCTGAGCGAAAGCTCCAAGTTCCACAGCATTTCCCGTAGCAGAACGCTGTGCCACAATGGACAAAGAGAAGAAGGAGAAGAAGGAGAAAAAGGACAAGGAGGAGAAGGAGAAAAAGGATAAGAAGGACAAAGATGAGAAGAAAGAAAAGAAGGAGAAAAAGGCCTGAGACTGCTTCACTGTGGGCAGCAGCTACTGCGGATAAACAACAATCCTACATTTGAGCAACAGAGGACCTGTTCCATTGGTTCTCAGGTATTCCAGCTGGAGTATCTTTTATCCATCAGTAGGCTAGCTGTGTGGCAGGAGGGAAAAAGAATCCAGTTGGGACCATTCAGACTAGTCAGAACGTGGACCGCAAAGCCGAACCCCCAAAACCCGCGAAACTTCCGAGACCAGAAGAGAGGAATCCTGAGACAAGACGAAGCGAGCGCTTTGACCGCGGAAAATGACTAGTAGCTTGTTACTACTACCATAGATGGACCTTTGGGGATTGGGGGTTGGTGACAGTCATCGACTGAGGGGTTTGAATATTTGGTCCATCTACTGTAGTAAGGCGCCTTGCTACCAGTAGCGTCTTTGCTACTAGTAGTAATGGCCTCCAACCTACTAACGATGGCCTCCAACCTTGTAGCGTCCTTGCTACTAGTAGTAATGGCCTCCAACCTACT